ATGAGCGCGTGCGCGTACAAAACGTAAGAGATTTCCATCAAACTAAGGCCCAGTTCATACGTCGCATTTCTGCCGTGTCGAATTCAATTCAATTAAATGCGGCAGAAATGCGACTGTGGATTCATACGTCGCACTTGTGTCGCACTTAATTCAGAATTTATACTTTCGGGTATGTCGGCCAGCGGAAAATGCTTTAAACGTAGTAGTATTCAATATGGCGGACGCAAATACCGAGCGACGAAGGACTTTAATTTTGCGAAAAATTGTCCGCCAATAGAACAAGAAGGAAAAGGCTGACAACGGAGCAGTATGTGTTGCAATATGTTCAGGTTACATTGGGTCGAGAATGGCCAAGTTTCTTCTTTTTCTTTGGCGGGAAAACACTTACGCATGCTCAATACATTAACATAATGTATACATTAGATTCAAATTAAAACCTTTAGAGCTGGCTATCAAACTATACCAATAATTTTGAAATATGAATTGTCTAATTTTTCATGACAAAATTTGTACAGTAGATAGTTTGACATGTAAACACCAAAATCGTGTCCAAGAAGTTTTTGTTTCGAAACAGACACGTTTTTTCCGCGCTTTGGGTCAGGAAACTGAGGAACAAAGTAAATTCTAGTTAGCGAAAAACAAAATTTGCCTTGACTTGTAGCTTTCAAAAGGTGATTCAGACGCTCGTATTTAGAGGTCATGAAAACTCCGACGATTAATTTTACAAATTTTTTCAAAATTCTTGTAGTTTGGTAGCCAGCTCTATAAGCTTTGGTTTGATATAGGGTCTAGGTATCTACAGTTTAAACTGGACGCACTACATCGCTTAGACGTTAGACACCTCTGAAGGTAACGGTAACATTAAATTACGTCGGATATTCATTTTCATACCAGATAAACTCCTTCTCCTGCTTCAGCAGACCTCACTTTTAAATCGATGCCAACTTCAATTCATTGTTACATGTAAAACATTAAACTACGTACTGGTTCAATCTATAAAGCTTCAGTTTTTATATTTCACTTCTTTTCAACCAGCAGCTGATTGAGTCCTGATTGTAGTTGACATAATTGACAGAGCCTTTTTGCTCAGTTTCGTAGGTTCTTTTCCTTGCTCAGCTGGGTTCATATATATCTTAAACGTTCGGTGAGAGTCCTGAAGGGTGAATGTTTGTGATTCTCAGTTCCAGTGACCCAAGTCCCATTTTCGTAGTGAAAAAGCCGGACAAATTTCAGGTCCTATTTTGCCTTTATAAGCCCCTGGGTCGGCGAGCTTAGGAACAGTCTAAAATTGCGGAAATGGTGGGAAATCTTCGACAGATGTTTAGAAGCTGTTCCAAGTTTGTTTGTTCATAGTAACTATCTCGTTTGGACTTTACTCTATTACCTTTAAAAATATTTTATATTTGTCTAAAGTGGTGACGATAGAATCAACTTAGCTGAAGGACATCGCAGTCAATTATAAAGGAAAATGTGTTTGGACTGGACCAACAACGTTTAAAGTCAATTGCAGAATACAGATCCAGGACTGGCCTTTTGACAAGCAGAAATGTGAACTCGCATTTGGTTCGTATACCTATGGAAAGAACCTAGTATTGATAGCATAGCCTGGTTGCTTGTTTGGTTACATCAGGGGCTGGGTTACATACTTTTATTTTGGCCTCAAAATCTTGTTATTGTCCTTGTTTTACATCGTTAAGATCACGTGACACTTTAAGCTATAACAATCAATGGATCAATTTTAAGTGGTCGGCAATAAAAAGAATAAATTTGTATTAAAAAGTCTAAAAAACAGTTACAATGAACTATTGTTGAGAATTAAAATATATACAATATTAAAAAGGTTAAAATAAAAAAAATTATCCAAGAAATGTATCTTTCCAAGGACTCTCATAGCCCCTTATGGCTCATTGTTGCTAGGTTTTCCTTGAAGGCTTCATAAGGATCGATTTTTCTCGTGTCGTCGGGAATCGAGATCAATCATAATATTACTGTGGTAAGAACCACTGTTCTGTTGTTCTGTTCGTATAGGGTGCGTGGTACAGACACTTGTTGAGTGCTTAAATCTCGCCCGTGGGTGAGCCTAACTAGATCTTTCAACACACAGTAAACGTTTTCAAAAAGTAGTGAAATCATGATAAGTAGGTTTCAGATAATAAAGCCACGATGTATGTGGTTGTACTGAAAGCACAGAAACATTCTTCGGCTTTACTGGACGGTATTAGTAGACAGTGGATGTTCTAGGCCTGTTAGCCAGCCTGTTACAAATTCTTCTCTATATCGTAGTTGTCTGGTAAACATTAGAACACGAGGAATAAAGAAACCAGAGACATGTAAAATAGTGCTAAAAAATACTCTAGAACAAGGGAGAAATTCGGAAACACGAGCTACAGGCGAGTTTCCCTTTCGTTTCACAAGTGTTTTCAAATTTCCGTATTACGAAAGTATAAATTTTTGGTTGAGGCTTACACTGAACTCGCGCGAGACAATTATATACGTTTTTCCTTGTTTTATGCTCTGATTAATCTTTAGCTTTGTGTTTAACAGACCACGCGCAGATTCCAAAATGAAAAAAAAGAGAGAGAGAGGTCGAGGAGTAAGATGCCCCATTTAGGTCCTATTCCCAAGGAAATCTCTTTCAAGTCAGTTTTGGACATGATACCCAGTTCTACCGCAGGTAATGGTATAAATCGAGCCAATGTCACCACGCGCGTTGTGTTGTTGTTTTTGCGGAGGATGAAAACGTGTGTAATGCCGTTTGGGCTACACACGTGAGCAAACTTCAGGATTAGTTATTTCTTGACCTTCCTGAGAAATCCGAAACCGGAACTTGAAAGAACAAGGCCTGAATGGTGGATAAACTCTCTCACCCTTCATCCTCTCTTGGTGAGATGACATGGGTGCCTTTGTTGGTTTGAATTGTGCCTGTTTGTAACTACACTCGTCGCGTTCAACTTAGGGAAATTCCGAAACAAACTGTTTCAACAGTTTTTTTAACAAACAAACTATTTTAACCGTTTGTTTAACAAGTTGACTGAACAAACTGTTTTAACAGTTTTGACAGCCTATGCAAAGTTTACGTTTCTTGTGATTTGCCAGTGCAATTGATCTAGTTTTGGTTTACGACGGTCAATTTAATAACGCTAGTTTTGACAGGCAGTGAACAGCTTTGCATATTTTCCATTTTTGCTAGGTTTGTAAAAAGCGGAGACTGGGACATTGAGGACATCACAGCTAAAATATCAGAAACTGACCATGGCGACTGCTGCCCGTTTAACTTCAGTGAGGTTGTATACGCCCTGCTGATGAAACGCCATCCCTTCTGTTACACTAACAGTCATCGCACTAAGTAGCTTCCTAATTCATGTTGAAAGTGGAGAACGCATCGGCTTTGTTACAACTATTCTGCTCGCCATGACAGTGTTTCTACTTGTCATCCCATCCTATCTTCCAGTAATATCGGACGGACTCCCAATCCTTGGCATAAACCTTCAAATTACTATGATCATTATAGCGCTAGTCCTCTTCGCCAACATTTTCGTTCTGAGGGTTTACTTTATGGAAGGGACGCCTCCAAACTGGACTGGAAAACTCTGTGACTTCTGCAGCGTTAAGAAGAGTAAAAGAGTCAAACGGATTCATGTATCACAGCATGATGGTGCCCACCCAGCAATTGCGAAATCCACTGCGACAATGACCAGTATCGAGACTGAGGCCAGCAGCGGGAGCCGTGTTTTGGGTAAAAGAGTTGATGATCAGGAATTCACTTGGCGACAGATGTCAATTAAAATGGATCAAGTATTTTTTTGTAATACTCGTTATTGTTTCGTTCATTGCGTATGCCGTGACTTTTGCAACATGACTAAACACTTTGTTGTTGCTTTGTGAAGGACAACTCGCTGCAAACATTTTACCAGCTCACGCCCTCGCATTGTTGTAAATTGAACGTTCATGAACTTTATATCCAAAATCGACCTAACTGTCTCTCCAATGTAACGATCGTTAACATAGCCTGTTTGATTGTGACGAATAATGCTTGGCACAGCATTTTTACTTTGAATGTAATTACTTTTGAAATTATTTTCGCATCAACATTAATGAGGGAGATTGGTTGTCAATTTTCTATAAGTGTTCAATCTTTACCTTGTTCCTCAATTAAAGTGATGACTGCTCTCCTTTGAGAGCTGGGCATTTCTCCATATTTAAAGGTCTCCTTTGTACTTTCTATAAAAGAGTCCCCAATTAATTCTCAACAGAATTTATAAAATTCAGTTAGCATCCCAGTATCACCTGGTGATTTGCTATTTTGAAAGCTGTCTAGCATTAATTTTATTTCCTTCACGGATATTTCACCTTCACAAAATTGTTTTTGTTCTTCGGATAGTTTAGGAACCGAGTTCGAGAATGGCAATACGTTCTCCTACTGTATTAAATAATAAATGAAGGGCACGAGTTCACGGCCGCGAATTTGAGATTCGCAGGAAGCGAGAAATACTGTATTTTCCACTCGCGAGTATTTCGTGGTAGCGTCACCTAGTTGCATATCCTATTTTTATACTATACCACTCTGAGATGTAACAGGCTATGTAATGGTGATGTAAAGACATCGTACTCCTTATTAGATATTGTTTTCTGATCTGACAATGTTGCAATTGATTAAAATTAAAAGTGACATCACTTTTAGTCAAATATCTTCGGATCACTGCCGGAAACTCGTCGGAAAATGTTCGGAAAGTTTCGAAAATTGCAAAAATGTTCATATTCTTGAGCCTATATACGAGTCAATTGCTAAAGACATTGAACTGAAGATAGCGTTTTGAACGGCAAATGTCATGGATCGTAGAAGTCTTACAGACCCGTCAACCCCATTTTTACACCAATATGATTTTCTAAAATTGTTCTCATCCTCGCAAATGATCGGTAATACTCTGGTGATTTACATCTTGTTTACAGTAAACCACATGCGTAGTTCAACAAACACTCTTATCGCCAACGTGGCCTTTGCTGATCTTCTTATGACCATAGATACATGATCAAATAGTACTACGTGCTAAATAAATGGTTTAGCACGTTCATGGGCACTGTGTTATGCAAGTTCTTGCACTCTTTACAGATAGGATCCCTTGCAGCCTCAGTGTTCAGTCTGGTGGTGATTTCCCTTGATCGCAGTTTTGCCATCCTATTTCCAATGAAAAAAATAATGACTCGAAACGTTGTTCGTTTCACGATCGCCATGACGTGGCTAGATGCGCTGGCGTTAATGCTTCCAGTTATGATAGCTACCAAGAATAAACAGTGGGAGGGAGGGGATGGTATGATTTGCGACGAGTTTTGGAAGCCGATGTCAACGAAAGTCTACGTTACAGTTGTTTTCGTTACTTCTTACATCGTTCCACTGATAATCATTGCTCTAGTCTACTGCCTGGCTGGGTTACGTCTTTACCGCAGAAAACTATCTGGACATCAAAATCAGACAGCACACAATAAAATCCAAGTCTCGAGCAGACGAGCGACTGCAATGTTGATCACAGTGACTGTCATTCTAGCTCTGTCGTGGCTCCCTCTACAAGCCCTGGAGAGGATAAAAGTTTACAAGCCAAGCATTTCGCATTTCCCCTGGTTTGGTTACTGTAATAGCGCTATTAATCTAGTTCTTTAT